AGCAAAGGTCTGACACGTAGATGGCCATACAATTTGCCTCAAGTCCCGATGACGGAAGTGGGACATGTTGACCGTGATCCGTCACTAAATGAATGCGTTCGTCACTACTGGCTTGCGGTTAGGATACCAAACCAAAGCACTCGAAGAGACAACCTCGAACGAAATAATTGGGGGATTGTTGGGAATCTGCGTCCGTAATTCGAATATTCCATTCCATGCTACTAGGCCCGTGTGAAGTGCATTGCTCCACAACTCTGATTCAGAGCTGCAACCACATATTATGTGGGCTGAATTGTTCCGTCGGGGGCAGACACGCGATATTAAGTACCGGAATGAGCAAAGATTCCTCTAAGTTTGTAAAAAAGCACGACGTTTCCTGGTTCTCGCTAGTGCAACGTGGGTGCCTACTGCTTGTTAGGAGTCCCAATCCTATAGTTGGACTATCTGGCGCTCAAGATCCCTGAAACCAACTTAGACTCCATACCCTATCATGGCGGCCCACACGACGCCTCCGCTGAATGCTGGGCGCTGATCGTTCTCATTATAGGCGAACCACTCAGCGATCGATTAACGTATGCTAGCCTATGACAACTTTTTGTCACAAAATGCATCATGTTTACTTAGTACTTACATCGTATTCCAAATTACACGATAAGGAAATATTCTTCTTCGAGCTGCACAAAATGACTGAGAGGCTCGTTAGTTGTGATTGGATAACCGCTGTCGGTGGCTGCGATGACGGAAAAGACAAGCCGACTCCTCAAACAACTCATCAGCCGTATAGTTTTCATTTTCGATTTTAAGAAAATAGTGGGGAAGTATTCAACTTTGCTGAAAAGAACCAACTGATTGTCATTAACACATACCTTCGCCATTACCGCAAACCGCTATCGCGTAATTAAGGCTAAGACAGTTTAACCCTAACGGCTGAGATCTTCCAGGCCCGGTTCTTTAGGAGAGGGGCGAAGTCTTGGAAAATCCAGATTGTTAGGAAGAGTATATTATGTGCAGAATTAATAGAAGAGGTCGTAAGAAATTGACTAGCAGACGACCGCACAACCGCAAGCCAGCGGACGGCGTCTGAAGTGAGGTCTACTCGGCAGTCGTCACATAACGTCCTGTGTGAGTCGGCCTGTGATTGGCTGTTACAGAGGCCGGAAGCAGCAAGCCTTCCGAAAGTGCACTTCGACTTGAGCTAGTCACGACAGGCGTTCATACGTGCACTGCGTGTTGAGCTAGTAACTACACATCTACTGACCTGTTGAGGAAAATAGGATTCGAGTTACGTGTTGGTGTGGATCTAAAATTAGGCGTTGGGTCAAGTGTGGGTTAAGCTTTGAATTAATGTTATAATTATGCGCAGGGCCACACATGTTCAAATAAACTAGGAACAAAACGTTTGTTAAAACATCGCGCAACTAAGTCTCCCCATAATGTTTTCTAAGAGCAAAAATAGGAAATGTAACATGTTCCCACTATTCTAAGAATATAAAATTTTCCGAAAGGTTACACCAAAGACAAACAATAAAAAATTATCACGGCTGGTTTATTTCCCTCCAGCAGCACCTAGATACCTGAAGTCTGGACCCGTGTCAATTGAGAATTGGCAAATCTAGGTAAACATTTCATAAACTGGAGACAGATTCTGTCGATATCCATCGGGAAAATTCACAAGTGAATATATGTAAGGTTTACCGATTTGACCTGGATACAGAACAAATATGGGCGTTCAATCGTTCTGCTTTCGAGATTCCGTT